TGATGTAGCTTGCCATATCCCCTAAAAATCTGATGGCGACAAGTGAAAACAATATGAATGCCCTCAACAATGCATACCACCATTTTGAGGATGACCAATCACTAGGGGAACTTCTGACCATCTTCCTTATATTTCCAACAGGTCACACGCTCATTGGAAGAACTAAGAGCTCCAAAAGCTCGAGGAGCGATCCCACGCTGAACAAGGATGTTTCAATGAAGCAGGCAGGCATCAAACAACAGCATACTGGAAAAGACCAACCCATGGCGAGGTTGGTGTTTGATGTCCTCTCGGCTGCATTCATTGACACGCACGTCAGTGCACGAGAAAAGCTCAGCTGATCAGGGCTATATCGGTCAACAAGCAAATACTCAGCGAGACAGCTATCTCAAATAGTCAAGTGCTCCTCTAACCAGTTCTGTTAAGACTTAAGAAAAGAGTACAAACTAATTTTAGAGATTTCTATAGTAATTTCGATTCTTTAAAGATTTAAAGCAATGAGATTTTTATATTTTGAAGAAATAAATTGAATAAAACCATTTTGCCTTCATTATTATCTCCATCACAATATTCTTTCCGCAACTTACCAGGAAAGGCATTCAACTTCCCATGGAACTTTGAGATGAGACCCAGATATATCGATAGAGCTTCAAACGCTGATTACAAATATGGAAACTAAAACTGCAAAATGAACCTGCCAAGGAAGTTGTGAGCAGTCAAAGTTGGCTGGAAGTAAAGCATTACACTAGCCTCCGGGCTTTCAAAGTCGCCGTGGAGTAGTGGTAGTGCTCTCGGAATTTGCACTCCAACGGGAGGAGAGCTTATGACCTCCAGGGTGAAGAGCGAGGGCACCACCACTGCTCCGCGGCGACTCTGAAAGCCTGGGGTCCAGCACTTTTAGCAAACTTTGGGACTTTATCTGGGACTCAGTTCGAAGCTTCATCGGGGACGTGGAAATGCCGTTTTCCTTGTCTAGTATTTTTGATTTTCCAGAACTTTTTAAATTTTTAAGGGTGGGATTCCAAGAACTGTTATGAAATGTCTTCCTCTCTCCTCATCTGTAGGAAAGGGAGGGTAAAAGAGTTTAGTTGAAATCAATATTCAATAAATAGGTTATTAAGTTCCAATTAGAAATGGCTTGATGGCAACGCAAATCAGATAGCATTGCCTACATAAAGAGGAGCTAGGGTAACGTGCGGTCGGCCAAAGCTGTGAGCAGCAGGTTCGCAATCAATCAAGTTTTTTTGTCCGTCTCTTGACGTCGGTCCATTTGTGCAAAGGTTGTCTGGAAGGATAGAAATGAATTGAAGAGAGATTAGCCGAAGAGGCAAATGGGGCCACCAAAAAAGACATTTGCCTCGACATTCAAATGGATTTAATCACTCTTTGTCAAATTCAATCCGACCCCCCCAGCTCCACCTCAAATGTTGAAAAACACGTTCTCCTTTCCATGCGAACAATCTTCACAGTGACTCCTACGGTGGCGACTCAGAAATTTCGCCCTCCAAAACACACGATGCCACGGACACGGGGTCCTTGACGGATCATGGACCATTGCCACGAGTTCTGAAATGCTGGTTGGGAAGGAGTTCACACAATTAGAGCTAATGCCACAGAAAATACCCTATAACAAATCGATTAAAAATTGCGTAGAGCTTCAGGCTGAAGCACTTACGGTAGGCCTCCTTGAGCCTGACGACGGTGACAGATGACGTCATATTCTGAAGACGGTGAGGGCAGTGAAGGAGGGCCTGCGTCTACTTATAGAGGGACACTTAGGGAATACTCTGCTGAGGAACTCCCGTCAACGACGGCAATCTCTGCGAAGAAAAAAAGCTGAAGTGCGCATGGGCGAAATGCCTTTTATTGTCACGAAATGCCCTCTTCCCCTGCACATTGATAGATGAATTTTAAACGCTTATCTTGGATCTGCATTCCTAATATGCGAAACAATTCTTTGTAGTTATGAACAAAAGCGCGACGGTAATGATCTTCGTTCACAGGTGACGGGATCGATTCCTTGAGGAGAGTGCTGCTGAAGTCTTCTCTTGAAGACCCATCAGCAACCATAAGCAAGGATCGATAATAGTACGTGGATAAGGAGCTTTCTAGCCAAGTTGCTAAAAAAGCTAAGCAGCAAACTCTTCAAGATCAATCCCACGACATCTCGTCTACGAGCCAGGACCACCGTCGCTACCCGCACTTCAACCACGTTCGAAAAAGCACTCACAGATTCGGAATCCAGATTCACGATCAGCGCACAAAAACACTTCCGGCGCATGGCCACACCGATCTGGGGTTTCCCTTATAGGAGATGGGACAGGTGGAACGATGCACTTCGGGAATTTCCGTCCACACCTCCATGGGCATTCAGTATTCTCTGACTTAATTAATTGGTACGAAACTTGTGTGGAAGGACAAATATTGCTGGATTTCAGATTGGTTTGCCTTCAGGCCATAGCATTAAAGAAAAGAATGGACAATTAGGTGTCATCATGATTTCAAAGTCCAATTCGGGGCGTATCATCACCTGCAACTATTTCCTCAGTCTCATATCTACCAAAAACAGGGCCTTGTTTCGCCCGTGTATACAATAAGTAAATAAACTTCACCGTCCCAAAAT